CAACCCGAGCTTAGCCAGTGACTGGAGCTCCTTCTTGGTCTTCCCGTCCAGGATGACACCAGGGTCTTGAACGGCTATCCTCCAATTGGTGGGGAAGGGCCACCCCGTGCTGCTCCGGACTACGAAGTAGTCCTGCTTCCAAGCTGGGAATTTGCTCGGGAGCTTGTGCATGAGTTTAAAACCCGGGCGGGGGTATAGGTAGTAAGACCGCCTATGCCCGGGGAGAGTGCCCGAAGCGCTCTTCTTTATAGCCAAAATCGTACTAAGAACATCTAAATCTATGGAAAGGGAACTTTCAAAACAAAGAGAAATGGACCCCACCACATTCCGTATGAAGTTCGGTGGAGTTGGTCTGGGGTAATGTTAAAGTGTACCAACACCTCAACAATTAAAGGGTGAAGTGGAAGTCTGAGCCCGGCTATCAGTTGCTCCCTGAAGATCATGATCTCGTTGGGACCATGCTCCCATGGGAAGTTGCCGGTGGGAAGACTATATGAGTACTCGCTAGGGAGGCGGAACCTCTGTATGAGGTCCTGAAGCCTCTCCGAGGTCATTATGGAAGGCCCGAACTAATCTGGTTCCCAACCTCGGTGGGAGGTGGATGCCAGATGACCCGAAGCCACCCGTGCTTTGGGCGGCTGTGTAGTAGAGGGGACATTCCGAGCCGAGGTACCTACCTCGGGCTCGTCGATGAGACTGTCTACACTAGACGACATATCGAACTAACAGAAAGAAATGTACTAGAAGGGAAAGGGAAGCTCGGGAGGACTCACCAAAGAAATGCAACTGGAAGAACAGAATGAACTGGAGGACCCGAGCTAAGAAACCTCTGGTGCGAGCTCAAACACTAACGATGAAAGCTTTGTGGCGAAGAAAATGGCCAAGGGACCCCCTATTTATAGCCGCAACCGCGGGTTCTTCAAGGCGAAAACGATTTAGCGCGTTTTTGACGTCCGCGAAGTCCAAGTCGCGTGAAGTCCATACGTAATCCGGACGTGACTTTAATCTCTTTTCGGTCGAGCCAGGCGCTAGACCGGTACATCTGGACGGAACGCGTGACAACACAGCACGAACACCAACGCCAAATCCACCCGGCGCATCATGACCACCCCACGTTGGGTCACCGCCGCCAGCGCAGGGAGTGGGGGGCAATTGATGGAGGGTGATTGGCCCGACCTCGTAGCTCAGGTACACGTTAGCGTGACCATGCTCAAATAGTGACTCTGCATTACAGCACAACGGACGTGGGCACAACTCGGTGGAGAAGTCCCATCGAGTTAAGCACGACAACTCGGCAGGTAAACTACTCGCCGAAAGACGCCTTGCTCGGACCTCCTCCCAGGGGTTAAGGCACTTCGGGGGGTCCTGAGTTCGGGACCCCTGACCCCTTTTGAGACCCGAGCTCCTCCCAATGGACCTCGGGCCACTCCCAAGCAAGAGCGCACTGATTCTTCTTTGGACGCCCCGAGGCACAAAGACCTCGAGTCGGCGAGCTCAGCATAACCGGCTGCAGGCAGCCCGTCACTTAAATGACAGCCCAACTCAGGGCAATTCGCAGGAGGACAGCTCGGTATACCATGGAGGGCTTCCTGCCCGACCGCCGTACTCGACAAACCTGCGAACAATAGGCATGTCCCCTCGCCGCGCCTGCCACGTTTAGAAAGGCGTCCCAGACCTGACAGACACATACCCTGCACGACGGCCCCGCGCATGCCACCTCAGCCCTGCCTGTAACGGCTGTGACAGAATGACAGTGGCGGTTATACCTGCCCTGTCAGAAGTCAGAGGGCCTGGAGCAACGGAATTCAGTTATAAGGAGCTTATTCTCAAGGAACAAGGTATCTTGAATAACTAGCGCAACCTGCACTCTTAGTGTTCATTATCTTTCAGCTTCTTGCACACAATACTAACTTAAGCATCGGTGCGTTTTCGCCGGAAAACCCCCTGGGAGTTTTTCCTCCTTCCTCTTGTTTCAGTTACATATCAGGAGCCACGCGAGCGCTAGTTAGGAATGACCGGATTGTGCTACATCAACTACTGTTGGAGTCATGGTTCTTGTTTATAGTGACATTTATATATCTCATCAGGGGTGGAGCTAGGATTTTCTTTCGAGGGGGTCAAAAAGTAATAAACATGGATAAGGGGGCCAAAAGTTAGTAAATATAGGTTGGGAGACCAAAATATAGGTAAGGTTAAAATGGGTATTATAGGGATTTTCAATGCATAGAGGGGCCATGGCCCCCCTATACCACCCCCTGGCTCCACCCCTGTGTCTCATGATCAAGGATATTTAAGATTTTTTGCTTATATGAGTTTTTCCAATACTCCATGTTGAGATTAGTTACTATTGAGAGAATTTCTGGGAATGGCACGTTATCATGTGAATGGGTAAATTATTAATTACATCTTAATTTATTTTGACTAAAAACAAAAGCATGACCGTGAATAGGTAAATTGCTCAGAACATGCCCAACCTAGAAACTGTCTCAACAACCTATGCTGTTGGGCCCCAACAGCCAAAGTTAACCCACCCTAATCCAACCCTTCAGTGCTTTCATCAGAACCTAATCAAACCCAATTTACCAACTTCTGAACTTGCCCTGTCAATATACTCTATAAGGTTCGGTCGGATAGTCACCCACATGCAGTTTTTTCAATTGTATTTTTTTAATACATTTTAAAGTTTCAAAAACCGTTAATTTAAGTTTGAATTTGATCTATAGGGTTTAAGGTGTGGCTTCCTCAACAGTGAAAGAGGAAAACCAAAACAATCATGAAAATAAATCTTAAACTTTAAGGTTATACTGTTGAAAATAATATCAAATTACAAAAATACACTCTATGACATAGGGGTATCATGATTGCTAGGCCAAGTTAGTGAAACCCAAACCCAACTCATTTTGAAGCATAAAAACCCCAACCCAACCTTATTCTTGAATAAACTTGACCCTAAACTGCACTAGATGGTTGGGTCATCCCAGTTTTATAATTTGACTCAACCTATTGTATCAGCATGGCCTATAGCAATAATAGGGGGGAAATACTTGGCTTCTACCATGTTGGAGGACAAGTGTCTGACCATAGCCCTTTTACACACTAATTTTAGGATTTAGGCTTTAGGACTTAGGTCCCATCTATTTTTTTTGGATTCTAAAGGGGGAACTCGGTGAATGGGATTGTTGTTTGCATTGACTGCTTTCCCCATATTTTTTTGTCATATTTATGTCAGATCCACAGAAAATTATATTCCTTGGCACCCAAGTAGGAAAATAACTTTTTCACTTGAAGGAAAAATTGACAAAACATGTTCGGGCAATTTTGCTTATTCTAATAATGACTTTTTATAGATAAAAGAGTCATTGTATAATTTACCTAGAAATCAAAAGAACATAGATAAATTCACTTAAGTGGAGATAACAATTATAGCCCTAACAATAATAGATGTATAAATGGCTAGAAAAACAATAAAAAAAGGTAGGAACCTTACTGTTACAAAGGAAACCGCCAGCTACTAGGTGCTGGGTTTCAAACCCGTTGCAAATTAGGGCATTATGATCTAAAAAATACATGGGAGAAGGAAAATGGGTTGGAAAAATGAAGAAAATGAAGCAAATAACATAAAGAAAATGGGGTTTCACGCGTGCACTTGAAGTTGTGAGTCTTGGGAAATTTCTGGTCGCTGGTCTTGGACATTTGAATGGAGAAGACAATAGGTTCTATTGTCATTTGAAGAAGGGGTAATGCCTAGAAAATACATAAATATTTGGAGACAGTTTTGCCCCCAAAAAAGAAATAAGTGCTTATTGAATAATTACTTAAAAAACCACCCATTCCTTGTTTATGGAATAATCACTTAAAAAACCTCCCAAAAAAGAAATATGGTCCCGCTACTTATTTTAAGTACTTATTGAAATAAATTCATAGAATAAATGATACTAAACAAGAACTTACTTTGGTAAAACTTACTTAGGTAAGTAAACTCACCAAAGTAAATAACTTTTTAAAAAACACATGAGGCTCTAAGGAATATAATTAGAGTTTAGATTTTAGGGTTAGGGTTTAGCGTTTAAAGGTTTAGAATTTAGAATTTAGATTTTAAAGTTTAGGGTTTAAGATTTAAGGTTAGTGTATAGGGACTTATGGTTTTGGGTTTAAAGGTTTAGAGTTTATAATTTAGTGTTTAGGGTTTAGATATAAAAATCAGGAGGTGGTAGGTTGCATGTCCTCCAACTTGGTAGGAGCAAAGCATTGCCCTTGCCTATAATAGGGATTATGTTGGATATATAAAATCCTTTATAAAGAACCACTATTTATAGAATATATTTTGCACATAATTCTAACCAAAATTTTTTAAGTTAAATTATGCACGTAAGGCTCAGTTTGGAAGGAATACAAATACATACAAAATAATACAAAATACAAGGTTTTACACTCTATAAATATGCATTTGTACTTCCAAACTGAGCCTAAATGAATTCTATAAATTAAATTTTCAATTTTAAAAATTCAGTTCTTGGAATGACTTTTGAGTCTTCAAATGTGAATTTCAATAATTTCAAAAGACCCGTTCTTATTATTCGGAAAATATATAACTCATTATATGTTATCCCTAAATAAATAAATAATATATCTGTGACGAGCAAGGATTCGCCCCTGGTTTAATTACCGAGCAAACATTAGGCCCAAATTAGCTGACGTCCAGAAATATATAATAAAAACTAAGGCCTACAATTGTACTTGTGAGCTAATCTAATAGGTTGATGTTGTAAATTGTAATGGATGTTCAGGTCATTTATGTTGTAAACTCCATTATGAACTGGTCCGCCCTCTGTTTCCAAACAAACAATAGGTTCGCAATTGTAGCCACCGTTTTTTTTTTATGATGATGCGAGAATGGCTTACGTGCTCAGAAGGACGCAAGCACAAGATTCCCTTCTGAATAGTGTAAGTATAAAAGTGAAGACAGACTGGGTTTTGGAACAAGAAGTTGAAGAGCCAAAGCTAGCTCTTGTTGCATTTCTTGTAAATAGCAGTAAAAGCAATGAGTTCAGTTCGTAGGATCAGCATGGCCATAGTCGGTCTTTCCTTTGTTGTACAAAAGCTTGGTAACCTTCTCACTGAAGAAGCAAACCTGTTGTCTGAAGTGAAAGACCCGGTTGAGCAGATGCAAATCATGCTGAAGGGGATAAACAGCTTCTTAAGGCGAATGGATGCAACACAAGAAGCAGACGAGGAGCTCTGCAGCTTACGAGCAGACATTAGAAACATTGCATATGATGCTGAAGATGTGATCGACTCTTTCATCCTGAAAGTTGCCTCCATTCGTCGGAGGGGTGTTCAATCAGTAATCAAGAGGTACGCCTGCTACTTCAACGAATGGATGCTTCTGTGTGAGGTTGGGCTGGAGATAGAAGCGATCAAGAGAAGGATCATTTGCATCTGGCGAACTTATGGCATCGGGCCTCCTTTAGAAGGAGAAATGTCAACTCAACCGCCTTTAAGGCTACCTGAGTCGAGACGACGGTCCGATCCTGATCCCAACGAGGAAGACGATATTATCGGCATGGAGGAAGAAGTAGAAGCCTTGGTGGAACAACTGATGAAGCCGGAGGAACGATGCTGCGTGATTGCTATAGTTGGTATGGGGGGTTTGGGTAAGACCACTCTTGCTAAGAGAGTCTATAGCCATAATACCATCAAGCCTCGTTTTGAATGTGGTGCATGGGTTTATGTATCTGAGCAGCACAGAACCAGGGATATTTTGAAGGAAATCTTAGAAAGAATTGACACTTCAACCAAAGAAGAGATGGAGAGCTATGATGATGATGATGATGATGATGAAAACATGGGAGACGAGAGTTTGGGGCTCAAGATTTACCAACAACTGAATGATAAGCGATATTTAATAGTTCTTGATGATATATGGACCAAAGAAGTGTGGGATGATCTTAAATCTGCCTTTCCAGATGGAAAGAATGGAAGTAAGATCCTGGTTACAACACGCTCAATAAATGTTGCTTGGCATGTGGATCCACAGGGTCGTCACCATACGCCTCGATTTTTGACATCAGAAGAAAGTTGGGAGCTGCTTCGTAGAAAAGCTTTCCCTGAAAATGGTGATGCTGACAGAAGCTACTCAACTGTGAAAGAGAATTTGGGAAGACAAATGGTTCAGTACTGCAGTGGTCTGCCCTTAGCGATTGTTGTAATTGGAGGCCTACTAGCAACAAAAGAGGAGGAATATGGCTGGCAGGTAGTGTCCAACAACATTGTCAATGCCCAAGTTGGAGTAGAAAAGATACTTGCTTTAAGTTACTGTGATTTGCCGTACCACTTGAAACCATGCTTTCTGTACATGGGCATTTTTCCTGCAAACTTTGATATCTCTACAAGCAAATTGTATCGACTGTGGATCGCTGAAGGTCTTATACCACTTGAAACCCTGGGAGATGATGTTACAGTGGAAGACATTGCCGAGGTATACTTACAGGAGCTGGTCCAGAGGTGTATGGTTCAGATTTGCAGAAGCCACTTTGATGGCAGAATGAAAACATGCCGCCTACATGATTCCATCCGAGAGCTATGCCTACAGAAGGCTTCTGAGGAAAACTTCCTGAAGATTTTCGATTCAAGAAATAGCAGAGATGTTAATCCTTCCACATCCTCTTCTTCTCCTCCATTCCGTAGGCATGCTGTTCACTTTGTTCACGACTGGTATGTATCCAACAAACACCATCACTCATCAAATAGACACCTTCGCTCTCTTTTATTCTTCAATCCACTATCCAAGTGGAGACCTGGAATGGAGAATAGAAGAGTGAAACCCATTTATAGGGACTTCAAGTTACTTAGGGTCTTAGATCTTGAGGATGTGCACATAGGTTGCTTACCTGAGGAAATAGGGAAATTAATTCACTTGAGGTACCTGGGGTTGAGGAGGTCTTTTGTAAACTATATTCCAGCGTCTGTAGGGAATTTGAAATGCTTACAAACCCTAGATTTGAAGAATTCTCCCGGTATCATTGGTCCACACAACCCTGTTGTAATAGTTTCCAACGTAATATGGAAGATGGAGCAGCTCAGACATTTGTTTCTTCCTTCCTATGGACATAGTTTCCACCTCCGGCTGCAGACTTTGAGAAAGCTACAGACGCTTTGGGGTATAGAGGCAGGTCGCTGGATGGAAGAAGGTGGTGGGTTGGATAACTTCACCAGCCTTCGGAAATTAGGGCTACGTTCCATTACAACCTCGTCACAACAAATGAACCAGATACTAGAGAAAAGCTCCTCCATGACCAGTCTTAAATCCCTGTCACTGTCTATATGCAATCCTTCTGATCCTACCCAAAAGTTTCCAGATTTGGAACGTCTCTCTAACTTTTCTTCTCTTCGCACATTGCAATTATACGGTATGTTACAGTCGCTACCATGTAAATTTCCACCATACATCACCAAGTTAACCCTAGTATTCTCTAGACTCAGTTCAGATCCGATGCTAACATTGGAAGGATTGCCAAATTTAAGCTCCCTGGTGTTAGGCATGTTGACATATATGGGAGACAAAATGGTTTGTTCTTCAGAAGGGTTTCCTCAGCTCAGATTTATGCGACTGGAGGGATTGCACCAACTGCAAGACTGGGAAGTGAAGGAAGCAGCCATGCCCAAACTTAAACGCTTGGAGATTGAAAATTGTTACAGGTTGAAGATGATTCCAGACGGATTGGTGTCTGTTGGTACCCTCAAGGAACTTGAGATCAGAAGGATGCCAAGAGAATTTGAAAACAGGGTTGGACTTAGAGGAGAGGACCATTACAAAGTCAGTCACATACCCTCCATTACGGTTCTGTTTACTCTCGATCAGAATTAAACCTAACATGGCTAAGACCAAACGCCACTTCTACTGGGTCATCACTAGTGAGTTTTGAAAGTATTTTTCATTAATTATAAACTTATAATCGTAGCTACAATTAGAAAATATTTACTTTCATATTAAAGAACCACAAAATATTAATCTAACTACAAATTAATTAGTACACATATAAAAGAATATCTAAACCAAGACTTTTACTTTCATATTAAGGAACCACTATTTGAAGAATCTATTCTATTTATCTCCACAGATGATTTTTAATTTAAGTTCAAATTTTTAGTTTCATTCATATAGTCACTTCGTAGAATGAGTTTTGATTTCCCCAAAAATGAAAGGAAATGATAGGATAGATCAGAAGTATATGCCTTCTCAAGATCATTCATAAATTGTATAAAGGCCCGGTTTGACCTATATATATATATATATGATCATCCCTATCAAGCTTGATCTTGGTATTATGACTGGTTTGGATGACTTTACAAATCTTGTATACAAGCAACCCTTTTATAGTTGTATACTAGTTAGCTCTTTTTATTTTATCAGTATCAAATCAAGTATTTACTTTGGCTATTTGCTTTAAAATCATGTGGGTCCGTTTGATTAACAGCGGGAATTCGAATGGGAATTGGAATTAAAATCCTTGGATCAGAATTGGAATCGTCTTTCCCCATCACCTGTTTCGTGCAGACTGGAATTAGAATTAGCTGGAATGGAAGGGAGGGGCAAGGAATGACCATTCCCTCAAATGAGGGAATGTCATTCTAGCAATAATAGGAATCAGATTCCAATTCAACCCAACCAAACAATTTAAATCAGAACGGACCATTACGATTCTAATTCCAAATCCTTATTCCTGCAAACTAAATAGCCACTAAGTCATGTTATGATTAATTATATACTTGGTTAGCATCTCCTTGCAGTTCTGCTTATGATTTCTCATTAATGTAATTAAGAATCTCTAAAGTAAAGAATTGAAGATTGCATTGAGCGTTAGACCCACTAAACCATGTTGGTCTTTCACAGGGATTAAGGAGATTTTGAAGTTAGAAAGTTTTAAAGGATTTGCAGATTGAGTGTTGTAAATTCGAGTGGCTTAATAGTTGGGAAATATGTGAGCAATAAATAAACTGTATACATGGAAATGTGTAATGTGTGGCCATGGGTTATCAAGTTTATCAGATGATTCAGATCAGCGAGACTCTGTGGACTATGGCTCTCAGCTGACTGATCAATATGATCCAAAGTCCAAACTTCTACGCCGATAACACCAGCCTGCCGCACTGTTGCTTCTTTGCTTGTGACACTGTTTTTGTGACTTGTTTTTTCTTAATCCTTGCAAAGGTTGAGAATGTAAAGAAATGTATGTGTTGAACCAGCAAGCTAATCACTTGTAGAATGATATCAATTGAGTGCATTCTATATTGAAGAAATTACCGTTCAGACAGCAAAAATGTAGTCGTGAATATATTTTATTAGCAGGGACCCATGCGATGTATGGGATTTGTTATGCGAAAGCTAAATAATAGAAATACATCGGGTCAAGGAAGCCAAGTACCCAATGGTGATAGGGAAAATTGCCATCCCTAGGCCCTCTGTGATGCATCAGCTTTGTTAAACAAAATCCAAGTTGAAGGACCCTTGTTTAAAATTAAATATAAAAATATTATAATAATTATATTAATAATAGCATTTATTAATTATGTAACAATTAATTAGAAATATTTACTAAATTATTTAATAATTATTATTTTCCAATAAATTTTAGAAATCGTTGACTTTAATAGCAATTTGTTAAAAATGATATTTTGTTAGCAATAATTACTATTTATTAATAATAATAATTTAATTAATGATTATTACAACAATTACTATTAATTATGATTATTATAATTATTAATAATGATAATCAATTTATTTAAGAAATTAATAATCATTAGTTATTTCCAAAATTAACAATTTATTAATAATCATTAGTTATTTATAAGTAATCCGGCTGGACTAAACCAGTTTCTGTAACATGTGTGATAGGTACGGCCAAACACGAACCAACATCAAAACTCGGTCTTGATCAGGGTCGGAAACGCATTGGACTATGGACTATCTATTATAACTTCCTTCTTAACCCAAGACTCACTACAGTGTCATTCGACGGAGTGAGTAAAGTAGCGAGTCTGGCGTGAGGAACTCACCCATATTCCAAATCCAACCGCCAACTTTGCCGTCCATCTCCTCTCTGCAATCCGATCCCCGGAGCTTCAAGGTAAAATGGATGGACCTTTGCAAGGTTTCCTTTGATTGGGCATTGGCTAATGCCACCCATTCAAATTCCTACACCCGTTAGTTGCTTAAACCTTTCCAGGGTTTCCTTTGATTGGGCATTCGGTGGCAAGGGAATGGTTCAACTTGTGTTAATAATTGAGTTGAAGCAAAAACACTTGGGCTGCGTTTGGAATCAGTGTAAAACGTTTTACACTGAATCAGAAAATTACAGTTGCTTTTTTGAAAATAGTGATGGGTGGAAGAGTGTAAAGTTTTACATCAACAAAATCGATATAATTTTTATATTGATTATCGATGTAAAACTTTAGAGGTGATGAGGTTTTACATATATTGTTGACGTAAAACTACACTCCATCCGAATACATGCAAAACTGAATCGGAGTATACTTCTACGTTGATAATAATTACACCTTTTTTCCAATTGCATACAAGACCAAACTGATGTAAAATTTACATCAGTTCTTGATTTACATTGCATCCAAATGCAGCCTTGAGGATTGAAATTGGCATTGAAGAGTGTTGCTTCTCGGAATGGCTGAGAACAAGAGGGTAATTTCGTCCCTGAACTCTGAAGGCTGGTCGAAGGCTTTGAGGGCTTAGAGAGGATGCTGCCGAGGCCGAGGTGTGTAAGCCGAGGCGGGGTGGTCTCCGAGTACGGTAGAAGCTGGAGGTAGATATCCAATCTCTGTTGGAAGACATGAGCTCATTAGAGGATCCCGGGTGAGAACCCGAGGCGGAGTCTCCGACGGTCTTGTTAGTACAGGGCACGAAGAGAGAGAGGGAGCCCCAGGAGAGGATCTTGGTGGGTAGCTCTAGGCTAGAGCAATTAAGGCAATAGTTATATGATTCAGATCGTAACCCCCTTACCTAGAGGGGAGCACCCTTATTTATACTTGAGTTGCCTGGGGGTAGATGGAGATGAACGCCTGAGATGGGAGCAGTACGAGGGCTGTCAGCGGTTCTGGCAGGACTATGTGATAGTGCTGTGGTTGGTTCCGTACGAAGGGGGTAGGGTAACCCCTACTGTAGTGGATCCTGTTCCCTACTCTGGCGCTCGTGTGTTGGGCCTCCCAGCCTTGAATGGGCTGGGTTGGGTCACCCCACATCATTTGCCCCCCACTCCCAAGGCCGAGGAGAAGAATTTGACTTCGATCGAAGGGAGTAGTAATGGTGAGCACCAGTGGGCCCGGTAGCCGAGGTGTTCCTTGCAGTGGCGTCCTTTCCTACATCTTTGCTTGGTTCATCTTCACGAGTTGGGCCGAGGACTAGAGGGAGCCGAAGGCTGTTTAGGCCGAGGACCCGGGAAGCCGGGGGGGCTCGAAGGGGCCCCAGGATCCGTGCGCGAGACCACTCTCTAGTCAAACCAATACGCTCATTCGTGAGAACGGGTCTCTCAGACCAGTGGGTTGCTTTGGGTGGACTTTGCTGGTTCTTCTTGAGTGTCGTTCCGTTTTCCGAGGGTGAGCGCTCGGGGTGCGGCGCGGTTGGATCGCAGGTGCGGAGGTGTTCCCTGTCCGTTGGATCTATGATAATCCAAGCCGTTGCTAGCGCGCCGTTTCATCTTCCGAGGGGAATCATCACGCGGTGCGCTGTTATTGGACCGTGGAGGCAATGACTTATCAGCCATTGGATCTCGAGAGATCTAGGTTGTTCACTCTTCTTTAAATAGCGGCTTCGATGGAGGAATGCTTGTCATTTTGCCTCCAAGCATCTTCGTTCTTTGAGTGAGCTCATCTCCCAGATCTTCCAGTTTTTGACACTTCATCTTTGTTACTTTTTCCTTCCACCTCCTTTCCAGGTAATCAACAATGTCTTTCTTGGATTCCAGACCTGAGTGCTATGAGCTTCCGAACGTATCGGAAGTGATCTCTACTCGAACCCCTTCTCCCCTTCCCCCCTGAGTCACTCCCTCTTCGTGCTCTCTCGGCGCGAGGTGGATGTGCTCCATGCTAGGGTAGCCTCTGGGGAAAGTGATCGCATCTGCCGAGGCCATGACCCTTCCTGTGAGAGCGCTGCATCCGTGATGCTGAGGGAGGAGCAAGACCTAGACCCCGTCCCCGGGAAGAGGGTTGAGAGTGCTGCCAGGGCGATGGCCAAGATTGACCCTTCTCATCCAGAGTTTAGAGGTTCTCTGGACTGGGATCAGGTCAAGGCCCTGACGGGGTAGTATTTCATTCCCTCGTCATACTGTGAGGGTGCCTGAGTCAGACGATCGGCCGTGGAATCCCAAGGAGGGGGAGATCTATGTTTATCAGCATTTCCTCTAATTCGGTCTTCAGTTTCCCTTACATCCATTGATTTCCGACTTGCTGAGGATGTATGGGATTACACTTAGCCAGCTTGCACCCAATGCAGTCGGGACCATTGTGGCAATGTTGGTGGTGGCTCAGCTCTAGGGGGTGGAGTTGACGCCAAAGCTCTTTCAAACAACTTTTGCGTTGAGGAAGTATTCTTCCTAGGCGGGTATTTTCTATTTCCAACCCTATAAGTACTAGCCTATAGATAACCCCTCTTTCGTACATAAATGGAAGAGTAAGTATTTTTTCTTGTCTTGTCCCGAGGGCTGGTCCTTCATATCGGGGTGGGGAGAACCCCATTTGTCTGTGGAGAAGTGTGTCCCCTTACTTACTAGTGAGGAGAGTGACGATCTCGTGTGGCTGCTCAACTTGGGGAGAGTCCGAGCCCAGCCCTTGGTGGAGGAGGAGATGCCATTAGTTTTTGTGGCGCTAAGCCCTGCCCCCCTTGGTAGGA